AAAAGCAAATGCTCTTCTGCTATAAAACAGCAACAATTCAAATAACTAACACACAAGATTCTAAATGTTAAAACCACCTTTATTCATTTACTATGAATCTAAAAGTTGGCATTTTAATTTATTAATCCATCCATGTCAATTACTTGACAGCTACTTTGGAGGTGGGAAATATTTTCTAATGAACATTCAACTAAGAATTTTGTATGCTTTAATTTTTTTTTTAATTTTGCATACTATCTTTTAAAAGTCAGACACAAGAGTACACCTTCCCTTATCTTTATAAAGGTAGCATGACAATCATAAGACTCTAGGTTTTAATCTGAACCAGCCTGGTTAGGATCAAGGAAACACATAATACTGCTTTATGAGCATGAACTTTGGATATGGAACAAAAAGAAGATGATCTTAAGAAGTTATACTCCTTAACTCCTTACTAATACATACATAATATACACAAAATGTAATATATAATGTATAATGAAGCATAACATTAAATAATAATTATGACATAAAAATCACCTGAGAAATGAAAATTTTTTGATAAATAATTTTAAACATTTCATGTCAATAAATATACACCATCTGTATATCTATGTTTTTCCAGTGACAGGTACAAGGTATTTGTAGATTTATTTAATCTTTCAACATATCTGGTTCCCCGACACTGGATACCGAAGATGAACCCAATTATTCATAAATTCCTTTACACGGCTGAATACTGTGACAGCTCTTACTTCAGCAGTGAAGAATCAGATTAAAACCATCTGCAAAAATCTATGAAGATATCGATTACTCAATCTGTGTTTTTTTAAAATTTTCTATGAATTTCATGATATACAAAGAGTCCTAATGTAATATATGTATATACTATAGGTAAGCCCTGTGGTCCTTTGATTCAATCCTGTAAATAATTTTATTAACTCATTTTTGTGATAAGACTAAACATTAAGATGAGAAGTTAATTAAATTGAATTGTACCATTGTACATAGGTTTTCCTATTAAAAACTCTGTCCCTTGATATTTACCTTAATATAACCATTTAACAGGTTCATCTCATTTTATACTTTAATGAGCTTGTAAACTTCAGCTATTTCAAATATTTACTGCAATAAAATGTGTCATTCTGTACAAAGATCTACACAATCAAAATATTTAAGAAATAATAAGAATTAGTCTTTTTTCCACATACAATTTTGGAAACATTGCTTGTGTTTATTGGGACTCTTGATGACCAAGGACAGAAATCTATCTGAAGCTTGCCTAGAAGGAAGGACATGCTGGACAAATCTACTAGCTCAAAGAATTGAGAGGAGCCTGGGCATGGGTCCAGTTCCTGGAGTACTATGAGGATCCTCTGAGAAGGACACTTTGAGGGCCCTTTGCGTCTCACCACTTTTTTTCTGTAGGTGTTGGCTTTATCTTCCCAGCTCTTCCTCAGGCAAGGTCTCAGCTTCCAACACCTCTTGACCAGAAAGGCAAAGGTGCTCTTCCCAGCTCCAGGAGGCAGAGTCAATGCAGGATTGAGGTTATAATGAGTGATAGTTCCCTCAACTGAAGAATGTTTCAGAAGATAGAAGGAGAAACACACTACACAGTGATTTAGCTCATTTCTAATAACAAGTATTAGACTAAGAGTTTAGATCAGACAGGAGTTTTATTCTTCTTTTTCTAGATCAGTGTGGAAATTGGCAATACTTGGATTTATTTTATGGAGGGAGGGCAAAATACTATCAAAGGAATCTAAATGTAGATCAACCTTGACCTGGAGCGATGATCTGTAAGTGAGCAGCAAATTCTTCATGGAATTGAACTATTCTTTGGTCTCAATTATAAGTTTTTTCTTATAAAGATCATGTTGTCTAGTTTGTCTCTAGACAATTACATGTAACTGCTTTTACCTATAAGGCCCTTTCATGTGTGTGTGCGTGTGTGTGTGCGTGCACACATGTACATAGTGCCTGATGGTGGCTAAGCTAAGAAATATAGAGACAAGTAGCATGGTGGCTAAAGGCAATGGCTTTGAAATCAGTGCACATGGGGCATTGCCATTTATTAACTACCCATTCCAGTACAAACTCAATTTTAAGCCCCAGTTTACTATCTATATGGTGGGGATAAAACTACTTATGTTAAGGGGCGCCTGGATGGCTCAGTCAGTTAAGCATCTGACTTCTGCTGCGGTCATAATTTCAGGGTCTTGGGATCAAGCCCCACATTCAGCTCTCAGCTCGATGGGGAGTCTGCTTGTCCCTCTTCCTTTGCCTCTGCCCCTTCCTCAACTCGTGCTCTGTCTCTCTCTCAAACAAATAAATAAATAAAATCTTTAAAAAAATACTTATCTCGATCTTTATTCTTCTCATGAAGTAATGAAAAAAATATGCTAATAGATGTTCTGTCACCAAGATATTTTGGAATCTTAGAATAAATGCTATTTGTCAGGCTTTATTCTTGTAACAGACTAAATGATCTCACTTAGCTCTTTTATTTTCTGGTGTGATTAAACTATATAGTTGTAAGAGTTTTTTTCCAAGGGATTTATCAGTAACTCTTAATGTAAAAGTCAAAACAATTTGTAATGCCAGTTTCTATCTTTGCTCCCATTCAAACTTGCTAGTGTTAATGATCCACTTTAAATTATAATTCTCTAACGAGTTACAGAGTGTGTAAGCTTGCCTAATTTAGTATTCACTTTGAGATCTTTGTGAAATCACACACAGGAACATCTTGATGATTTTCATTATGATTCCTAATTATTATGTGAAAATTTCATCGCTTTCATTTTAGCCCCACTGGGTAAACTTGAAGTTGCTTGTTATGGCTGGAGCACAGCAAATGCCTATATAGAACAGCAGAGATCGAGGCAAAGAAGGTAGAAAAAGGGCTTCTTCATGAAAGGTCATTTAAAAAAGTTGGCATGTTATCTTTTAGGCATTGAGGAGCTCCTGAATTGTTTAAAACAGGGAAATAACATAATGTCTTACAGAAATGCAATTCCAGGGGACACATAGTAAATGGATTATAATAACATCCATCAGAGTCATCTAGAGCACTTATAAAGACAAAGTGTGTCAGGGTGCCTGGGTGGCTCAGTTGGTTGAGCAGCTGATTCTTGGTTTCAGCTCAGGTAATAGTTTCATGGATCCTGGGATGGAGCCCTCCATCAGGCTCCATGCTCAGCAGGGAATCTGCAAGATTCTCTCCCTTTGCCTCTCCTTCTACTCGTGCATGCAAATGCATGTTCTCTCTTTCTCTAAATAAATAAATAAATAAATAAGTGTTTCATGAGTCCTCAAGTGGCTTCTGGTCTGGGGACTATACTTTGAGAACCTCTGTATTAAGGGACATAGAGTTTAGTAAGTAGACTACTGACTAGTGGAGTTAAGATATAATTAAATAATATGCATCTAGGAAAGAAAAGTAGAAACAGAGAGTGTAAGTGATTTTTTATGGATTTTATTTATTTATTCAGAGAGAGAGAGTCAGAGACATAGGCAGAGGGAGAAGTAGGCTCCCTGTGGGGAGCCCAATGTGGAACTTGATCCTAGGACACCTGAAATCACGACCTGAGCCAAAGGCAGATGCTCAACCACTGATTCACCTAGGTGCCCCAAGAACATAGGTGAATAAGTGATGGGTTGCTAAGGTGTAGTTGACCTGATTCAATAATATTTCCCTCACTTTTATTGATTGGTTAATTACATAATGTTGATGCTGTTAACCAAAACAGAGACTCTAGGAGGTGTGGAAGTTTTGTTGTTGTTGTTGTTGTTGTTGTTTTTAGAAGGAGGGAAGAGGAGATAATTTTGCAGACATTGAGGTCTATGGAGAAAACCAAAAATTGAATATATGGATTTGGAGCTGAGAAAACTCTTATGTGAATGTAAAGCACATCAACACTGTTCACAAAATGTAGGTCATAACACTTATCAAGAGTCTTCTTCACCCAAAGTCAAATATAGGTAGTTTTATTATAAATGTCATCAAAATCCAGAACAGCTGAGAGGTATTAATCATTTTGTAATTAAAAAAAATCTTTAACATTTGAAAAAAAGTATCAGAAAAGCACTTATATTGTATAGAAGTCAGTAAATACAGAGATAAATACAACTAGAACAACCAGCACACAGTTCTTTTTTGACACACTTGGATAATTAAAAAATTAATCAGCATATCAATATTTTTCTTCCTGGAACATTTCTAAACCTGAGCCAACATGTATTCATTTGAGGTTGCATCTGGTTGGTACAAACCAAAGAAATACAGTCTTTTGTAATTGAGTTTTCTTTTTCTAATAAAGCAGATGGATAGATAAAGGTCAAAAGCGATGGGAAAAATGGAATGTCCTCATTTTTTTAGTGGTTGCTATTACATTTAAAATTTTGTTTTTGCTAAGACAGTCTAGAGTAGAAGGTAACCATAAATTGCAGAGAAGAAATGTTTACATATGCAATATTTGATATGATTTTCTTTTATTAATCCATTTAATACTTAATTGTACTTCTATTGAAACAGAAGATCAGCTCTTCTGCTCTGAGGTTCTTATATTGCCACATACCCACACATAATGACTTCTGCAAGAGAAAACAGAAACTTGCATCAAGAATCAGAACCAGGTGGAAGCCAGAGGGATGCATAAAAAATGTGGTTAGAATGGGGAAAGCAGAAAAGTGGGAACAGAAAGGTGAGATCTTGATTTGATAAAGGTTTAGAGGCAAATGGAGCCAAATAAATAGTTATAAAATAGAATTGTAAAATAAAAAATGAGATTTCTTTAGCCAGGGAAGCCAAACCACCAGGAAAATGTAGGAGTGTCACAGTAAAGAACAAGAGAAAGAGAGTGGGAAAATGCATTGCTCTTTAATACAGGGAGAACAAGGAAGACTTAAGATGAAAGTCTATCAACAATGTGAATTTCCAAACAGCAATTTGTCTCTCATGCAATGCTACTAGAGTTTTTCCTGCCACAGAGTAGCCATACTGGTCCTTTAATTTCAATCTATTTCTCTTAAAAAGGGATTTTGTCCTTTTTTTTTTTTTCTTTCTATATGCCCTTTCTACTGTTTGAGGGGTAAACATTTTTTGTGGAGGTAAAGCACCCGGCATTTCAAAATCCTTAAGAAATTCCATCTCAGAGGGCTGTGAATATATTTGTGAGAAGCACACCTCATTTTTTAGGTTGCCTATTCTTGTATGTAAGTGTAAGTTAAGGCTGGTGATTATGTTCTACAAAGGAAAAGACATTCGTTTTCCCTTTTTAACCTATTGGAAGTATATCATTAAAAATAAGCAAACAAAAAACAACAATCAAACCAGATAAAAGCCTCTTCAAATTGAAGAGATTCCTAATGTGACCTTTATCCCAGAGTAAGAAACTGTTCTACAGATTCCTCCCGAGCCATGGAGCTGGTGGCCCAAAGAGAGGTGGTGGCCCAAAGATGAACAATGCTGAGAATGAAGTTCTTTGCTACAACTCATTATGAACCTTCATTTTTGTCGTTGTCCTTTGATCTGCCCAACATGTCACACAAATACAGCAGAAACAGAATCTGCAATACCTAGAAAAAAAGAAATTCTTAGCGCTGGTCTATTTCCTCCAGGAAATAATGTAATGGTTATAGTTATCTGTCAGTATAAGCATGGTAACTTCAAAAACAGATATTAGAAGAGATGGCTAATAGTTTTGCTTCAAGAAACTACTCAGAAAAAAAACACAACAAAAAACAAAACAAAAAACTACTCAGGCACCTGGATGGCTCAATCAGTTAAGCAACTGACTTTTTGTTTTGGCCCAGGTCATGACCTCAGGGTTGTGAGACTGAGCCTTGAGCAGGGGTCTGCTCAGTGTGGGGTCTGCTTGTCCCTCTCCCTCCTCCTTAGTCCTTCCCCCTCACTCTTAAGTGCTCTTTCCCTCTCTGTCTGTAAAATAAATAAAATCTTTGAAAAAAAAAAAAGAGATGACAAAAAAACCAAAATGACTAAGTACCTAAATAGATGAATGCATCTGAAATCTTTATGGCACTCATATGTATATTGCTTAGAGGAATACAGTAATTTATAGGATTGTTTTAAATACAATTTGAAATTTCAAACTCTAAGATTTAAACTTCAGCAAAATTTAAATAAATCACAAAAGTACTATGCTTTCTTAGCACACAAGACCATAGATCTCAATATCATGGTGGAAGCAATAAGTAGTCCATTTGAAAATTGGATGTCATTGTAATGAGCTATGTCTTTAAAATTTCTTGGGGCATGGGATGCTGTGTTATACCATTGTCTCTAAGAGACCTGTGATCATCATTAGGTATGTAACTTTCAGCAAATATTCATTTTCAGGAAGGATTTGGACCCCTGCATAATTACTAACTAAGCAGGCCCTTCAAGGATCAAGTTGGAACACAAGTAGAGAGGAGAAAGTATTTCAACTCACTCTTAGTAGCTGGGGGCTGAAGGAGAGGAGTATGTGTGTGGTGTGTGTGTGTGTGGGGGGGATATACAGTCATAATTGAGGCAACTATGGACAAACATCAGAGCCTAGCCAGAGCCTTGAAAAAGCCACCCTTCGGCCCAGATCCAGGTACCACAACTTTGATAGGTAGAGATAATCTAAGTTTAGTAATCAAGGTTCCATGAATAGCACCAGTAATTTATCTTCAAGTTCCAAAAATGTAAAAGCCCCCATGTTGCTAAAAAGTAGAAGCCTGACTGGCTTAATAGTGCTCTGGCTGGAAGATTTCTGTGATGTTCACTCTCCTTCATAAATAATTTAATTACAAAAATTTACTGGGGTGATAGAACGGACCACTGATTAACTCTCATGGATCCTACATTATGGAACTATTGGCCAAGTGTCACCAGACTGAATCAACATATAAACTCTCAAACTTTCCTATAACTCTCTTTTCGCAGTCTCACTCTCTGGAGGGCTCTACAGTTTTTAAGAAGTTATATACATGTTAGGAATCATTGTAATGAGAAATTAAATGGTCACTTTAATATGCAATATAGTTGGGGTGGAACTTGATTCATAAACTGTGATTTTCTAGATCAAGATTTTAGTATATAGCATACATTTTAGAACAGTTTAAAATACTTAACTAGCTATTTTAATTTGGCTTGTGGCTAACCAAAAACAAAGCTGTTATTCAGTAAAAAATGTATTATTTGGTATTCACATCAGCCCCTTAATTCCAGTATATTTTTTGCTTGAATCTGTAGGTGACAAGGGGCATATTAAATCAGAAACAATCCCAGTGATCAGATTTTCATACACTTTGCCACAAAGAAAAAGTGCTTCTTGCTATCCTCGGGCAGGTATCAAAATGCACAAATTGAGGAAAATTGATTCATTTATAAAAAAAATAAATTTGGGGGGTGTCTGGCTGGCTCAGTTGGTGGGATGTGCAGCTCTTGATCTTGGGGTTGTGAGTTCAAACCCCACGTTGGGTGTGGAGCCTACTTAAAAAAAATAAATGAAATAAATAAACTTTGGAGATGTTTTTGGGAATTTCAGCCTCCTAAGTTGAGGGTTTATATGGTTTTTGAAATTACCTTTGGTAAATTAGTACTCTATCTTATCATATTTTGCACATATTTGTTTTCCCTGCTGTCCTTCTTCTTTTTCAAAATGTGAACATGTATGACGTGTCTCTCTAAAGAACACTATTTTATTTTTATCAATTAGCTAAAGAATGAAAATTATTCTGTAAAAGTGATCTGAGTACACTGGAAGCATACTATGGACTTAAATTATAAGCATACAGGCTCATAACTTTAATATTTTCAAATGGACATTTAGCCTGAAGTTTTAATTAATTAATTTATTTTTTTAAAATTTTTATTTATTTATGACAGTCACCGAGAGAGAGAGAGAGAGAGAGAGAGAGAGAGAGAGAGAGAGGCAGAAACACAGGCAGAGGGAGAAGCAGGCTCCATGCACCGGGAGCCCGACGTGGGATTAGATCCCGGGTCTCCAGGATCACGCCCTGGGCCAAAGGCAGGCGCCAAACTGCTGCGCCACCCAGGGATCCCCTGAAGTTTTAAATATAAATTAATGACTCACCACAAATATTGCCTCCCATTTTAACATGGGCATAGCCGTCTACTCCCCATGAACTTCCCCAAGAGTTCCGCACAATCCAATATGGAGTACTTCCTACAAACATAAGACAGTAACAAGCCTTTAAAAATTCAGTTTTTTGTGAATGCATGTTTCTTTAAAGTTTAGTTCTTGTTTAGTAGCTCTGAGCAAAATATTAAAAATGTAACGTGATGCCTACATAAACTAGCTAACTAAATGTGTGCTGTACTTAGTATCACACTCCAATTAATGGAAAAATATGTTTGAATCGGAGCGCATGAAAGGAAAATATACACACAATTCCAGAGAATTAGGAAAAGGAAAAAAAAAAAAGAATTTTAGAGGTGTATGATAAAACAACAATTTCTTTTCTTTTTCCCCAACAATTATTCTAAACATTCCAAGTGGAGAATGCACATTATTTAAATCATAAATTATCATTATTTTAACAAGGTTGTCCTCAAAATTGATTGGGGGGGACCAATCAATTGACATTGACCCATGACATGGCAGGATATTTATATATAGAAGTCTACTGAAAATCTGTAAAGGTCTTAGGAAGACTTAGACATAGAAGCACCAAATTTCAGCATTTTGAAGAATGTTGACCATTTGTCAGTCAGAGTTCAAGCTGGAAAGCAATCAAGTCTTATCAGCACTTACCTATTTTATCAAATCCAGTTATGAGAACAGCATGATTTGCTTCTCCACTAGAGCAGTGGTGCTGTATTATTCCTCCCAAATAGTCTTGCCAACTCACTGCATCTACTACCACTACCAATGGGCCAAAGGTAAGAAGTACTTTTGCCATTTCATCTTCTTGGTCACTATCGAAAGGGGAAATTCATGGTTAAGGAGTTGTTTTTAAGGTAAAGATATTTTATAAAAATAATCTATTTAATCTGTGTATTGTTAGGAGTAGGTTTGGTTGCAATTACAGAAGACCTAAAAGATGGAGACTAGAATTCTGGGAGACTGGGTAGTCTAGGACTGCTATGGATCTCCCAGATAGCAGGAAGCCAGAATTTTTCTATATTCTTGTTCAATCATGTGAGGTTTCCATTGCCAAGGCCATTTAATGGTCCAAGGTGGCTGCTGGAGCTCTAGCCATTTAACACATGTTTCAGAGAGTAAAAGAGAGAGGTGCTATATTCCCGTTGAGAAGACTTCCCAAAAGTAACACACACATTCTGCATATGTCTATATGGATCTCATTGGCTATGACTCAGTTATGGGGCTAAGTTTAGCTTCAAGGAAGATGGAAAATGGGGTTTTGTAGCTACCTGGCAGTGTTCAGCTACTATAGGGGGATTCTTTTAATAAGGAAAGTAAGAAGACTGGATGCATGGAAATATATTTCTGCCATACCATGTGAGAATCCAGACTGACCAAATTTATGTGAGAGAATGCCAAATGCAGAAACCATAGTGTAGGGTAACACAAAGGTGGCAAATGGAATTATATGACAGAAGCAATGTTAAGATGCCAGGAGAACTAGTACTAGATTGTGAAGTCTGTGAAAGACCCAGTTATTGCTCTCACACATGGACACCTACTGATAAAGTCTAATATTACACAACATTTGGCCATCATCGATCTTGGAAGTATGATTAAACCATTATTTACACTTTTAAAGGTCAACCTTATGAGTGAAGGACACTGAAACCAAGTTACTGATATTTCAAGCCATTAAGATAGCATGTGGTAGTTTATTGCTGCTGCAAGCCATGGGTAGATTAGTAGCTCCCAAAAGTAAATAATCCATCATCATATCCAGCTGGGGATCAGTTTCTATCAAGGGGCTATTTTGTCCACAAGTGGGGAAAAAATGGAATGGAAAAGAGAATTTATTGAGACAGAAACTACACATTCATTCTAAACATTTATATTACCTGTTAATGTGAAGATCCTTTTTTGGAGATCTATAAGCAGTCAATTCTAATTTTTGCTACTGTAATAATAACCTGTATTCATTAAGATTACCCTGAGACAGGCAAAATTACAAAATTCCTAAAAGGCAGCATAGTAGGATATAGGCTTTGAGGTTCTGCATACCTGGCTTCAAATTCCAGCTATAGACTAGAGACATTCTGGTCACACTGGAGTCCAGTGACTCAAGCAGGTAACTGACTGAAGTCACCTATGTCGTAAAATCAATATAAGGATAAAATTGTAGGCCTAAGTTTTATAGCAAGCCTAACACATAAATTATACTCTAAATTTAAAATAGTTTCCTTTCCTTATTTCTAAATTATCTAATAAGCGAATTTTGGTTCACATAGGTTTTTAGTGTATAATGTATATTTTCTTGTATTCAAACTTTTGAACACTTGGTGTTCAAAATTTTGAATATTCTTGTTATCCAGATATGACAAACAGGATTCTCTCTGTAAAAGAGTGCACAAGTGCCTATATCTTTTTAAGATAATAAAAGATATACTGTAAATATATGACCTCAAAGGTCTAGGGGTAGGGACAGCATGATGGAAAGAGAATGATCAAGAAGGAAATATATTTTTTTAGAGTGCAATTCTAAAAAATTAACATTGTAAGATCAAAGAAACAATTGAGTAATAGTCTCTGTTTTGAAGCAAGAGTAAAGAAAATATATAAAAGATGCTGGAAAGTATGAAATAGGAGGATATGCCATAGTCTGGACCAGCAAGCAAATGTTCCTTTTTGCCCCAGAACTGATTAGCATTGCTATCATTTGTGTTTTAGAAAGATGCTGGCTTTTAGTAAGTCAAAATATACTCCAAACAGCATCTTTTTTTCCATTATTAGCCTGATGTAGAATTACAATCGACCACTGAACTGGAGGTTACGAGTGCCCAACCCCTACACAGTTAAAAGTCCGAAAGTAACTTTTTGACTCCTCCCAAAACTTGTCTACTGTTAACCGGGAGACTGAGTGATAACATAAGCAATCCATTAACCCATTTTTCTATGTTATATGTACTTAATACTGTATTCGCACGATAAAGTTAGAGAAAAAGTTTTTATGAAAATCAGAAGGAAGAGAAAATACAATCCTATACTGTACTTCTTAAAAAAAATCTGCTTCTAAGTGGAACATGTAGTTCAAACTTGTGTAGTTTGAAGGTCAAGTGTACTATCGAAATACGTATTATTGATTAATGGATATATTATCAAATCTTTCTCTATGCTTATTATATTTATTTTACAGATAAGATACAAATCCTACATTCTTTAAAGAATTCTGAATTTTATTGTTATCAAGATTTAGTGATTAGGTAGGTTGGTAGGTTACCAACCCTTCATGCGAATGTGGATTTCTATCTTCTCATTCCTAGAATTCAGGGTGTTGTACTGTGCTCTAGTTTTTCAATCCCTTGTTATATGGAGTTCCTTCTCTGTTTAAATAGTCATCCTCATATTTAGTTTGAGTTTTGAAATGTCTTTCCTGAGGTCTGATGAACAGGGCATGAAGAATCCTGGGTATAGATGGTCATTTTACTTCAGGACTAGACTATGCTTTTATGATTCAGTGGGGTTTTGCTCATTTGGTTGGTTGATTGGTTTCATTTTTAGATCCTTTCAGATTCTACAGAAGATTATTTTGAATCCAAGCCTGGATTCATCCTTGACTCACTTTTCTCTCATCCATATAATCCACATAATCTTTCAATATATTCTGTGGGGCTTTATATTCCACGAGGGGTATTAACCTATTATGTCTCATGCCTAGACCATTCTTCTAGTGCTGCTCCAAGGTTATCACCTGATAACCTTTATTACCTCATCTCCTACTAGTCTTGTGCATCTTGGGACTACAGTCCCTTTGGCTTCCTCATCGTCCTTTAAATATGCCAAGCATGTTTCCGCCTCAGAGCCTTTGCACTTCTGGCTCCTTCTGCTTGAAACAGTGATCTCCAAGATGTCTGCATGGTTACGTTCCCACACTTCTCCAGGTCTTTGCTCAAATGTCATCCTCTCAAGAAGCCCCTCCCTTTCCCTCACCCTGGTATTTCCTCTTTTTCCCCACTGTTTTACTTAATTCTCTGTTATTATATCGAACATTCTGTACATATTTTAATGTTTTCTTTATTGACGGTCTCTATCACTAAAATATGCTCAGGGTTTTATTGTCTGTTTTGTTCACTGCCGAATCCCCAGAACCTGAAGCAGTGTTCAATATATATTTTATGAACGAGTAAATCAATGAAAGATCTTTCAGAGCCTAACACAATTAGCTCAGCACTGTATTATAAGAATCTTTATTATATTCAGTGTAAATGTAAAGGTTTTTTTTATAGGGACCTCTTTCTTCTTAACCAAAGGGTTAGATAAAATACGCTTCAGGTCCAATGCCAGTCACTTTTATATTCTCTCTCTCTAATTCAGACTCATGCCTATTCTTCCTTTTTGTCTCATTTTTTTTTTTCATTTTGCTACTCATGAGGGATTTCCTGAAGTTTTTAAGTGACATTTTGTAGGGTTAGTGGGGTTTTTTGTCTTTAAAAAACAATTTAAGTGTCATTTTGAAAATCTAGTTCCTTCTTGTGCACATGCTTCCCTTACACTCTCAAGGAATCGAGAGCTTATAGAGACACACTTCCTCATTTTTGAAAGTGTGTTTCCCTCACAAAAGATGTGGCACAATGCACTCAGTGACTCTATACATTTTATTATAGATTGTCTGTAGCCTGCCATCAGTGGAATTGAGGCTCTCTGGTGTGTGGTTCCTGAGGTCACCCCGAGAGCCCCTGAAGACAGGAGCTGTGCTGACAATCTGCCAGTCGTCTGGTACACTTAGGCATATTTAGAGGGGTTCCATTTTGTTCAGTGATCTAATGTCACCCTTGATTTCCTTGAGCTCTCACAGGCAGGCACCATCTGGATCAAGACGTCCTTTAATGTTCAGTATCAGTATGTTTTAGGGTCGTCTGTCACCTTGGCTGAATATAATTTACATTCTGCTTTCTGTTTCAAAAGAGTATACAAAGGTCCCTTTATATATATATATATATATATATATATATATATATATATATATATTTAAATGAAAATGGAGTTCTTTGAATTTTCCTTTGTCCTAATATCCCTGAATACCTATTTTACACCATATCAAATGGTCACAATGGTTTTCTAGCTGGCTTTCAGTTCTTTGTGTATTTTTTTTTAAACTACCACTTTTTTTTTAAGATTTTTTTTAAAGATTTTATTTATTCATGAGTGACACACACACACACACAGAGGCAGAGACACAGGCAGAGGGAGAAACAGGCTCCATGGAGGGAGCCTGACATGAGACTCGATCCTGAGTCTCCAGGATCACACCCTAGGCTGTAGGTGGCACTAAACCACTGCGCCACCCGGGCTGCCCTCTTTATGCATTTTTAAAGCATTTTTTAATGACTGTTTTCCCCTGAACCTATCCAAAGTTATCATGCCCTTCAGTTTCCAACACAAACCCCATTCTTCTGCCTCCTTATCTACCCCTGTACTCCCATCGTGCCTATAGCGTGTGCCACAGAATCTATCTCCGGTAGAGCTAGGTAGATTATCAGTAGAGCAAGACTACTTGCTTCTATTATGAAACTTTCAGTTTATGTTTTTCTTACAGCTGATGCCTTAAAAAAATGCAAGGGTGTTCAAAAACTACTTCTTGGTAAGGACTGCTTGATATTAATTGGAGAGTCTATACAAAGCAAATTTGGATCAATTCAACAGTGAGACAACATTGCAAATGACAATTAGGATAACTCAATTTGTCAAAAGGAAGGTGTTAAATATAAACTATACCTTAAACCGGATTAAAATGTGTTAATTCCATTATAAACACAAATGGAAAAATAAGTAGATCATACTTAAGAAACAACATCCATGGTACTCCATTAGTCTCTGTATCAAAAAGTAGGTCTCAAAACAATTACAAGTATGCAGTGATGCCTTCAATCCAGTTGTTGATTCTGAATGGACAACTGATCAGGAATTAATACAGAGAAAGACACAATAGAATAAGACAATTACCTGAAGTCATATGCAGAATAACCTCTGATTGAAAATCCAGAATGTGAATCAGAAAAGTAATGGCACAGGCCATTCTGTGCTTTAAATGGGTACTCTGAATCTCTCACCAGTTTTACTTGTGTCTAAAAGAAAAAAAACATCCAAAGTGTTCTCTAATTAAAATGCAGTTGTTTCAGAAATCAAATAGAACTTAACTATGATGCGTCAAAATAAGATTCAAGTTGGCCACATCCTCCTCATGTGGATACTCTTTAGGTTATTAAGATCTTAAATTCAACCTTTATGTGTTTGTTATGGATATTCTAAGTAATTAAACTCAGCATCTTTCTCTTTTACTCTTGTTTTTCCTCTATCTTCCTACCTTAGAACTAACTTCCATTTGATATTAGTCATTGCTTTTCTCCTGAGGTTGCAATGGGGCAACTCCATTTTCCTTCCAGAGCTTCTGGCTTTGTCAGCCAGTTTTTGAGATGCATTCAGCATAGGCAATGGTCAATTCAAGCATTCTTTCCATCCAAGTCTCTCTATATGCTATTTATTTAGCATATGCCTCATATTTTTTAGTTGTTGATAGACTATCCTCCTTTTCTGATCCTGGTCTTACAGAAGCCAGGGGATGCAGAACATGTACTCCTGGCATGTAGTAACTCAAAATATGGCAAACACTCAAGGAAAGAATATTCAAGTTTGGGAAATTCCAGCTTGACAACTTTTACAAAACGTAGTAACATCCTCATTGGCTGGTTTCATGAAGTTGATGCTGGATATAGGACCATGTCAGAGAGTGTCCTAAGAACATGGAACACACGGTGGTGTATTGGATAAAGCCCTCCAGTGAGAGGCAGAAGACTTAAGACACAGTCCTGATTCAGCCACTGACTTGGCAACATGACCTCTCCTCTCAGGTCTGATTTCTTCATCTACATAAAGTGTTATTAAATTTGCTGAATTCTAAGGTTGCTTATAACCACAGTATTCAAAAATCCTATGGCAATAAGTAATCATATGTTCTCATCTTTCTGAGACTTTATGCAATTCACATCTATGAAAAAAAAAAACATTTCCCTGTTAATAAATGCTAAGAAAGAAATATATGTATTTTTCTGAAAACAAATCCAGGTAAGATTTTTCACACTTTGATCTCTCAATGGCTGACCTGCCTGAAAGCAATTCATTTTTAAATCTGATTAATTCAAGCTCTGGACATCTAAAATTTCTGAATTAAAAAACATTCTTTGGTATATGAGAGTAACTATTTAAATTCTGAAACAGAGAGTTTAAAAGGCTGAGATACTAGTTACCTTATTCAACCAGTTCAAAGCATTGAGAGTAGAGCCTCCACTGCAGCCGTAATTATTATATGAACAATCAATGACCTGCTGTACACTTATGTCTGCCAAAGACTTCCCTTTTATTGCATATGCAGATTCCACAGCACCCACCACACTGAAGGCCCAGCATCCTCCACACTGCTTAAAAATAGAAATAGCATTGTATTTATTATCAAATAACCTTCAAACCAAGTTTGGCAACATCTCTAAATATCACAAGTTATCAAGTTTTAAGTGAGTACAATTTAGCGGCCTACAGAATATTAATGGCCATCTTGTAGATTTTCAAACTGGCAAAAGAAAGGAAAACCATAATTCTCTTTTAAGCACCAAAATAGAATTATTAGAGATAAATTGGTAATCACTATTGTCAATTAGATAATGCAAGGTAAAAGCGAATTTTAGCGATAGAGAGAACACTTGGATGATCTTTTAAAGACTAATTAGTTCACTGAATGTGACTTCTGTTTTTATGAAGTGCTCCTACACCCACCCACTCTTCAATCCATCTTGTTTCTTCCCTGATACTCTGCCTCTATGGCATCCACCGTCTCCACCCTAAAGGGCAGAGGCAGTGATGAGGTGACATGGGATGAGGATGTAGTTGTCTATGCTCCACTATGCTCCACTCATTATTTGAAGGACGTAGGAGCTGAATGAATTACTTTTTAGGCTGTCAAGGTGCCAGCATGGGCATATCACAGATATACATAAAATGTCATAACGATAAAAACCCACACTGGTCACTCCTCATTCAAACATTGGCTGGCAATCTTCCTGATTCTGGATTTATTAACTTGATTTTACTGGATAGACTAGAATAAAAGAATAAAAAGGCTGGTTCTGAAAAAAAGGGAGAAGATGGAGGAAATGAAATCAAGGGTCATGCACAAGAAAGAGGAATCCATAGAAAAGGCAAAGGTAAGAGTAAGGTTAGGAGTTGGGCATAACTGACTTCATCACTAGACATGTGCTACGGAGTTAGGCAAAGAAAGGAAGGAGAACAATTGGTTGTCTTTGTGAAGTAGTGTCGAGCAACTTTATGGCTTTAAGTGTCTTATTATGCCAATATTATTCCTATGGCATAGGAAGATATGCACTAAAGAACTCTATTTCTAGATTTCTACCCCTTGGGAAAAGTGAATACAGGTTGCTAATACCATATCTATAGCTAGCTTTAGTTTACCTCCCTGTAGCTGCCCCAGGAGGGCAGTTTCTGCTCAAAAAATATCTCTCCAGTATATTTCTTTAATTAAAGATTACTAATTGAATTGTATTCCTTTAATACAAGATAGATGCTTTCTGGAAGGATTCAGTTTCTGGCTAATTCACACTTCATTATGAATTCAATAATAAAGCAAATGATTTAGTGGTAAAGTTTAAATCATAACAATAGATATTTTTAAAAGAATAAGAGAGGGCAGCCTGGGTGGGTTGGCGGATTAGTGCCGTCTTCAGTCCAGGGCGTGATCCCGGAGATCCGGGATGGAGTCCCACATCGGGCTCCCTGCATGGAGCCTGCTATCCCTCTGCCTATGCCTCTGCCTCTCTCTCTCTCTCTGTGTGTGTGTGTCTCTATGAATAAATAAAATAAAATGTTAAAAAAAAAAGAATAAGAGATATACAATCTGAGAAATAAAAAAGTATCATTACAACTAGACAGTGACTGAGAAACTGCTTGGTCTAAAACACTACACAGTGGGGGGGGGGGGGGTCCCTGGATGGCTCAGTGGTTTAGCTCTGCCTTCGGCCCAGGGCCTGATCCTGGAGGCCTGAGATCGAGTCCCACATCGGGCTCCCTGCATGAAGCCTGCTTCTCCCTCTGCCTGTGTCTCTGCCTCTCTCTCTTGCTCTCTCTCATGAATAAGTAAATAAAATCTTAAAAAAAAAAAAAAACAACAACACTATATACAGGGAGGCTGAGTGACCTACTGAGGTTTCCACTGCAGATAAATTGAGACTATGTTCCTGTGGTTAAGGGTCAATTTCCCCTGGTTGGCTGACATTTCCTATGCCAATGGGGTTGCAGAGGAGTAGGTTTATCTTCATTTTTTTTAATTTTAATTTTTTTAAAGATTTTATTTATTCATCCATGAAAGACACAGAGAGAGAAACACACAGAGACACAGGCAGAGGGAGAAGTAGGCTCCATGCAGGGAGCCTGACGTGGGACTCGATCCAGGGTCTCCAGGATCACATCCTGGGCCGAAGTCGGCGCTAAACCGCTGAGCCACCCAGGCTGCCCCCCAGGTTTATCTTTAAAATAAAAGTTGGCCTTGATACCTGCCTCTTATTTCACCAGAGAGCAGAGAGTCTTCCTTCATTGTCATTTCTGGATGACTGGAGTGTGATTTTACCCAGAGAAATGATGGCTTTCATTGCAAGTTTGATTGTACTCACTCAAAGGTGACTTCCCATGCATGCTAAGATAATTCAAAAAGAAAAAAAAAAAAAAAAAGCCCTACAACTCACAGTCTGCTGGTTCCTCACTTGGGTTACAACACGTTTGTCCCGCCAGTCAAATCTTAATGGTAAAGACACATTGCGTATGGATGTTCGCACCTCTGCTGGGTACCTGGGCGATCTGGAAGGTTTGCTTCTTAAATAAATAGCTGAATAGAAACATGAGATAAAAAGACAGCCACAATTATGTTATAGGGAGGGCCTCCTGGGATTCTTTCTGGAGAAATTTTTCAAACACAAACAGTAGCTTTCCCGTAGAGCTGGCCATTTGTGATTTTCCTTTAGAACATGAAATGCAGACACTGGAAGCTACAAAGATAGGAATTTCTACAACAGGAATGGAACTGCCACATAAAATGACTTGTCTGATAGAACTCTGTCAATAGTAAAAATAAGTATAATTGACATCATTAGCTTTATCATCACCCATGGAACTGTGGATGTGCAGAATAGAAATGACACTAAAAAATTGCAGAAGGGATGAAACACTGGCCCTTACAGCCACATGGAAACATCTGTAATTACAACATTTAAATATTAAGCAATAATTAGAAGACAGTAGCCAGAAGTCTATTTTTCTGTCAGCACCTGGCACATGCATAACATTCAGTATTTAATAAATGTTAAGTACGACTTCATTTACTACATTCACAATTAAACAGTTCCTCAAAAATTAAGGAAACAAATTAAATTCAGAAAACCAAACAACTAATAGCAAAATCACACCATACCTTTAAACTCTTCAGGAGACAAATAAGAAAATTGATTTATTCCATAGATGGCACTTGAGTTTTCACGAGGGAATACAGAATTCAAGTATCGATGTCTATTAAGACTTTCCTGAAAAAAGAAAAAGGTTAATTCACATCATGTATGTTAACTTTGCAGAGCAATGTATGTGTATCTAACTTGGACATATTTTTCAGGTATTAGAAGTCAAAACTTGATTTATTTCCTGCAGATCAGAATGAAAGATTGCATTAAGACCTCCAGATCAGATTTATAGACATTTGTATGAAAACTATTATCTGATTTCAGGTATATTTTTGAGGCAGGGAGAGGTATGTCTTAATGCATATATAATTCCTTTTCACTAAGCATGTTGAAAGCACAAACTGTGTATTTGTTTAACATACTGGAAAAAATAAAATGAATTGAGAATAAACCCGATACTAGTAGAAACCGTTCCCAATAGGCACTCATTAAACAATTATGAAATCGGAGAGTGTGTCTTTATCTTTGTATTTCCAAGCACAATGTAACAGAGCATGAAAAAAAATAAGTAAATAATAAATAAATATGATTCCATTGGAGCTTTATAGACCTCTCCATCTCACTAAGGGTAAAAAGGCTTTGTGAAAGATATATAATCCTGGAAATGTTCCAGGAAGATAGATTGGCTTCTTTATCTGGAGAGAAAATATCACCATTTACAGATTCCTCAGCTCTGAATTTTGCGATAATTTATCTGAAGCTTGACTTTGATGAGAACGTGCCTCAATTTCCTAATGCTAACCAACTCTGCATGATAAATAAAACTTCAGAGGACTACTGTTTTGTAAGTTTCCAACTCTAGCTTGTAAATATTTGTTTATGCATTTTGTGTTTATTGTGTGTCTGTCTCAAAAACCTGTAAATAAAAGGAGGGCCTCATCACTGTATCCCCACACTGAGTACATGCCTAGCACACAATGAGGGCTTACTTAATATTTGTTGTTGAATAAATACACAAGTGACATTTTACATACATCATGCCTTTAATAGCTTTAGGCTGTTTATTTTTAAGCAAACTATTACTGGAACTTATCATAATCTTATTTTGTCCTTATTGACCATGCCTGGAAGGATTGTTACTAAAATAATAAACAGTTGTTAAATTTTAGTTACTTAAAAATAATCCTGGTAAAGTGGAGTTCTGAATATAATTTAGTGAGGAGATTATAAACATAAAAATAGAACAGAAACACAAAGCAAATATCTTTTGCCATATTCCATGTGACAAATATGAGCCAGAGACTGCTAACTGCTAAGGAATTTAAAATGCATTCATTTTGTCAGTATTGGTTGAGCATCTTTGTGGGTTAAGAGTAACCAGGGAAGGCATTGAGAATGCATGACACTTGACTGCACAGGGAAGTATTCAGTAGTCATGAGAGTGGGCCTCAGAGACGTCCATCTGTCCATCTATAAGGAGCTTATGCGCAGTACGCTGAATTATCACAATTACACAAACAGAGGCCACGGTTACAAAGGCTGCATCTAGCCAATGACTGAGCCTTGAGGCTGGCCTATTTTAGGGAAACATGGGACTCCCCTGAAAGCTGGCTGATGATTAACAAGTCCCTGATGGTTTCTCTGACCCTTCCTTGGGCTGCACTGCAGCCTGAGGCACTTCCCCCAACCATTCTTCACTTTCTCCTCCACTCAGGGTCAGTTACGTTGCAACCAGACAGCTCTCCCTGACCCTCTCCTCATTTCTCTCAGTCATTGGTCTTGTGATAAAGAAATGAAAAAAAAAAAAAAAAAAGAAAAGAAAAGAAATAAGAAAGGATATGACAAAATTACCAAGAATGAAAAAAGAGCCATCACTACAGATGCTTCAGTCATTAGAAGAATATTTCAAAAACTGTAAGCCGGTAAGTTTGATAACGTGTATGAAATGGACAAACTCCTTGGAAGTCACCAATTACAAAAGCTGAATGTAAGAGAAATTGAAAACTCTAAGCCCAGATGTCTTGATAGGTGAATTCTACACAATTAAAAAAAAAATACCAATCTTATACACATTCTTTGAGAAAACAAAAGATAAGGGAACACTTTACGCCTTATTTTATAATTTATAAGGCCAGTATGACCCTGATTGCAAAACCAGACAAAGACATCTCAAGAAAATAGAACAACGCACCAATAGCCCTCATGGCTATAGATGCAAAATCCTTAAGAAAATATTAGCAAATTAAATCCAACAATATATAAAAAGGACAACACATCATGACCACGTAAGGTTCATTAAAAAATGTTACACTGGTTGAATTTTTGAAAATCAATCAGCATAATATACCACATTAGCAGAATTTTTAAAAAGGAAGGAAAATTGATATTTTCAGGTGATGCAGAAAATGCCCTTGACATAATTCAAAACTAATTCATTATAAAAATCCTCAGCAATCAGTGCATGACAGAAAATTTCTTCCATGTGACTGTGGGAATCTACGAAATACCTGTATCAGCCAGAGGCCAACTTCTCAAAGAATCGCATTGGTGAGTTTCGTATGTCATTCCAGTGCAATGACTCCTGTCATCTCATGGCTGTCCACAGCCCAAGCTGAGGCTACTTGATATTTACAATGTGACTTCTTGCCAAAGACAAAGACCTCTAAACCCCAAAGTGCTCCACTTTGTCCTCTCCCTGACACTAATCTTCATCCTCCTTTTTTTGGATTTTGCAAAACCACTAATAATATTAAAAGTGCTTCCCATGAAATTGTGAACAAAGCTGAACAATGCACAATTCCCTTGCACATTTGCATACACAGACAGTAGATTTCTCCAACCTCTTCTCAGTTCGCAATACGTGGCTTAACCACATTGCCATGCAATCTTTGGCTATATATTCAACCTCTTTGGTCTTTTTTTTCTTCACTGACAAATGGGGCAATTCTGACCTGGAAGAATGTGAGGATTAAATACGAGATTGTTTGGAAAACACAAATTACAGCCACTGACAGAAAAATATTAAATACTCCCATGCTGTATCTTTTTTTTTTTCTCTTTTGAACACAGAGCGTTTGGATATAGAAAATGTTGTTCAAAGACCGTGCTTTCAGGTTTCCTTAATGTGGGGCTAATCTTTCTCATGGAATTAGAAATGATCAACTATCTATTGAAAGAAACAGATAGCTTTTATAGTAAAATAATATTATCAGTATATCCAAGAATATCTATTCTATTTGCTGTAACAGTAGGACACATATCAAGTCCACCTAACAGAATGTCAAATCACTTAAATTTTAAAAAGCCCTGTGTCTCCTTTCTAGAATGAACTCCTCTTTCAAGTGACTTTTCTGGTCTACTTCAATTTCTTCCATGAGAGCAGATTTCATAGAAGCATCGCGAACTGTGATTCTATTGAGCCTCTGCGCCTCATCATGTTAACAACCTCTGTCCAGAGTCAATCATCGGTAAATGATCAATCACCGCATGTTCTTAACATAAGGCAATGGAGCATATCCTAATGATATAATAGTATAATAAACTATACATACAGTACAATAAACGATCCTAAAGTCATATAAAATATTAAAATGAAAGACTTGAGCCTTAATTTCACTCATGAAAGAAGAGAGTAAAGTATTGAGAAGTATACAGGAAACATCATAAGTAGTTTCGAAAGTCTCAGAAGTGTGAAAAACAGACAGATCATATGATGGTGACCTATTTTGCACTTAACAATATGTGGTGTGTGCTCCCTTACGATGAATCCATGCATCGGTGGGATGAGCTGTACATCGATTCATCGCTACAGAATCAAAAGGTACTTTGTAAGACCACCTTTCGTTTAGCACTCTAAACTCATTCTCACTTCTGTTACTTGGACTTTTCCCTTAATAGTCCTCATTTGCAGATTCTGAGGTTTGGTGTAGGATAAATCATATATTGTACAGATGGATTTAAATTGTTCTCCTTGCTGGTGCTTTAGTTTCTAGAAGTTGTAGTAAGTCCAGGGATAAACCAAAAGGTAAACTATTTGTATGCAGTGTTGGTGCACTGCTGAGAATTTCTCTCCAACTTGGGAGTTGCAAATCTTAGATCAGTGTATCTCTTCTGAGGCAATCTCCCTCCTTCCTCCCCTTCCCTCCCAAGGACTTTTGGCAATCTGGAGACATTTCTGATAGTCGCTACTGGCACCTAGTGGGTATAGGCCAAGGACACTGCCAATCACACTACAAGGCACAGGACAGCTCCCCACAACAAATAATTATCCGTTCTAAAATGTCAAGAGTGCAGTTGTTGAGAAGGCCTCTACTAGAAAAATAAAAATAAATACTTTGACAAAGTTTTACTGCTTTATTACAAAAGTTGCTTTACAAAAGCTGCCTACGTAAAGAATATTTTACATGTGTGTTGACATCTGTGTAAAAATAATATGCATGCATGCTTATCATGCAAAGTAAAATGAAAAGAAATAGGTAGTATTGTCTGTGTGCATGCATATAGGCTGAGTTAAAAAGACACTCTTGAGAATTGGTGGAAGCGATTATTTTTCTAGTGTATTAGTCTACATTTTTCTATTTGTTCACTGAAATAGGCATTACAGTACAATGTTTAAATATGCAATATCCATTTGTTAGGTTATAATTTCTTAGAATGTGGCACGTCTTTTTCCCCCACTGACTCAGAAAACCTAGACCAACTTCTTATATGTAGAGAATATCAAAATATTGGATAGAGAGATGGACAGCTGGACAAATGAATGAATAAATTCTGATCCAAGATTTCAAGTTCATGATATATTTCCATTTTGGCAATGCATACGTTAAGCTAGAATTACTGGAAGTGGTCACTTGAACAACAGTATCTTACATAAAATTCACCCATGTTAGGTAGAAAATGTGGTTTAAAGCATTCTTGTATAAGAGTTCACTTGGAGGACATAAACCATATTTCAAGGGGCTGATTATGGCGTATACGTGACCCATTAGTTAGGATTGCTCGTTATAAAAACGCTATGATCTTCAACTTACACAGAAACAACATGCCTACACATATATATTATTTTATTTTATTATTTATTTATTTTATGTCATTATGGCAAGAATTTTTAAGGTGACGATTCTGAAATTTTATGCACAAGTCACACGTGTATCGGCATGTGAACACGATCCTGAAGTGAGAACATATGACTTTGATTAGTTCCACAATTGGGTCTGTGACTTTTCGAAGGCATAAGAATACCAACCGATCTGTGGCAAAATGATGAGCATCAGTCAGTATCAGTGCACGCCTCGGTTTCATCACAAAGAAGAGTAGGCTGGATCCTAGTTAGGTTCTTCTTGAGTGCTAGAAGTTCTAAAGCAGTGAAAGAACAGAGGTAGGGGTCACTATCCCTTGTCCCCTCGTCAGTTATCCTGACAGGCATCCCACAACAAACCAAGGAGCAGCCTCGTCTTCACCCAACAATAATGTGACAATAGCTTGTGGGCAAGTATCATAGATGTCATCTAACTTCCATTTAAGAAATAGTCCAAGGAATTTATGGAAATACACAAGGCAGGGATGACGAGACCCTTTCACCATTCTCTGAACCCACCACCATGAAAGACACGACTCATCAATTGGTCACTTTCTCCAAGAGTCAGAATTTATTCATTCATTTGTCCAGCTGTCCAACTCTCTATCCAACTACAATCCCCTAAACACTGTCCAATGCCATATTTCAGGCAGCCACTACTAATCCATCACTTTGCAAACATGATGTGATCTATTTGCTATCCCTAAATAAGAAACAAAGATCCAAAGACTATAGCTCTATACAAATCTATAGATTTGTTCACTTTTTTTTTTTTTTTATTTATGATAGTCACACACAGAGAGAGAGACAGGCAGAGGGAGAAGCAGGCTCCATGCACCGGGAGCCTGATGTGGGATTCGATCCCGGGTCTCCAGGATTGCGCTATGGGCCAAAGGCAGGCACTAAACCGCTGCGCCACCCAGGGATCCCCAAATTTGTTCACTTTTTATGGTATCTATAGATTCTGGCCCAACACAGAGTACTTTATGATTCTATTTTAATTTTTAAACTTTATTTTTTTTAAAATGTAAAAGATTTATCCACATATTTATTTGAGAGAGAGAGAGAGAGAGAGAGAGAACTCTGGAGAGCAAGGGAAGGGGCAGAGGGAGAGGGAGAAAATCTCCAGCCGACTCCCTGCTGAGTGCTGAGCACTGAACAAGGGCCCTTATGTGAGGCTGGATCCCATGACCCTGAGATCATGACCTGAGCTGAAACCAAGAGTCAGATGGTCAACCAACTGAGCCACACAGGCGTCCCTATTTTTTTAAAACTTTGACTTCATTGTGAAGCAAGGACATTTTCTAGATTCTGCACACAATTTACCTGATGGGTGAATAGTGGGGAATCTCCCCCAATTCATAATTTGACATCTTACAGAAGCAAAGCGTTGTGGAGTTATACTGAGTTGACACATCCTTCACCTACCCTGCTAGGCCACATGCTCCTGGCTGCCAAGGAAGCAAGGCCTCTTCTTTCTTTGCCTGTGCCCAGCCCTCTACTCCAGGTCCAGACATCTAGATTCTAACACCAAGAGGTGTTCCCGGGCAGCCCGGGTGGCTCAGCGGTTTAGCACCGCCTTCAGCCCAGGGCCTGATCCTGGAGATCTGGGATCGAGTCCCACGTCAGGCTCCCTGCATGGAGCCTGCTTGTCCCTCTGCCTGTGTCTCTGCCTCTCTCTCTTTTCTCTCTCTCTCTCTCTCTCATGAATAAATAAATAAAATCTTTAAAAAAAAAAAAAAGAGGTGTTCCCACTTTCCAGCAATGTGTTCTGAAGTCTAAACGCTCTCGTTTCTGGGCATCCATTTCATGAAGGAAACTCCCACTGGAAGCAATTGCTTTGGAGACTTTTCCAGGCTTTTTCAACTCAAGTTTTTTTAAATGTACTAAAAACCTTCATAACTGCCCTCCTCCACTTAAACTCCATCTCCAGGCATGGATCCTTGTCTTTCTCCTGAGAAGAGTTGCATTTTTATAATAGACATTTGCCTCCTGGATATAGGGCTCTTTCACAGGACCAATAGGAGTAACTATGTAAGTAAATATACATGCTTATAAATGCCAAAAAAATACATTTATGACTTGGGCCTTCTTGTGCTTCCAAACCTGCGACATGATTTTCTTGAGGAGTACAGCAGCCCCTCTAGGTATTCAGTCCATGAGTACGTTATCACTATAGATAAGATTGACTGTTTTCTCCCCGCAGGGTTTGGGTCACCACCACAGCCACCAAACTCAGGACAGGGGTAGAACACAGGACAGAAAGTTTGTAGCAATTGTACTGGTGCTTCTGGTTCACAAAAGCTAGAATGTAGCTCAAGAGCAATAAAGCAGAGACAAAAGTACACATCTTGGTTTGGGCAAAAAACAAGAATGGGCAGAACCAGGTTAAGATTGCGACTTTCTAGACACTGGAATTTTCTAGAGGAGAGAGGAGAAGAGCACAGCTACAGAATCCCAGGAGGCGCGCCTGGATGGCTCGCGGTTGAGCATCTGCCTTGGCTCAGGGTGTGATCCCAGGGTCCTGGGATCGAGTCCTGCGTCAGACTCCTCCTAGGGGACCTGCTTCTCCCTCTCCCTGTGTCTCTCTGTGACTCTCATGAATACATAAATTAAATCTAAAAAAAAAAGAAAGAAAAAAAAATAGAATGCCAGGAGAAATCCCAAGACTAAAGCAGCAAGAAGCCAAAACTTAATTCCAGGAAGCAGTGCTACTACATGCTTACGTCCTTTGGATTTAGAATGAATCAGTTTTCTCTTGTCATCAAATGATGACATCTTCCCTGATTAAAATAAACTGTCAAGCGGTATCAGATACACAGAACCCGGCGACGCAAACCCTAAATCGGTAGCTCAAGGTCACAGGAAAACCTGCTTGTACTCCGCTAACTTGGTGCCTTCCAGTTTTAACGCCGGGGCCATCAGATTTTACACGATCATAAAGAGCCTCGAAAATAACGTGGAAAAGAAACAGAACGTGCCCTTTTCTCAGAATCCGCGTGCACCTCCAAGAACGTTAGGGTGAGGAGCCCCGGGCCGCAGGGCCAGAGGCGGGACGGCGCCAAGCGCGGGCGCTCGTCGGGGCGTAGCGATCGCGGGTCGCCAGCGCCCCCCGGCGGCAGAGGAAGAGCCGGAGTAGGTTCTCGCGACCTCTAGGAGACCCGGCCCGGGGACCTGCTAAAACGGGAGCCCGGGGAAGCACCCCTTGCAGCAGATGAGAATACTCTGGACGGGTCCCTGGATCCCGGATCCCTCAGGGCGCGCCGTTCACGGCCCGGCGGCACTCCCGGGGGCCCCGGGACCGGGGCTGCTGCCACGCGGCGAACGGAGGGAGAAGGGGCCGGAGATCGGCGGCCCGGGCCTCGGGTGGCGGCGGCTCGCGGCGGCCCAGCCCCCCCCTCCCCCCCCGACCAGGAAACACACGGGGCGGCGCGCGATCGGTACCCGGAAGGCGGCCGCCGGCGGCTCGCGGCTCCGCGGCTCGGTCGCCGTGAAGGTGGCGCGGGGCTGCGCGGACCGGGCGCAGCAGCAGCAGCAGCAGCAGCAAAGCAGCCAGAAGCACCGCCGCGCCCGCAGCTCCATCCGCGCGCCCTGCGCCCCCGGCCTCCGCCCCCCCGCCCCGGTCCCCGCCCCGGTCCCCGCCCCGGTCCCCGCCCCGGTCCCCGCCCCGGTCCCCGCCCCCCGCTCTGTGCCCCCGGCCCGCCCCCTGCACGCAGGCCCTGCCCCCGGCCCTCCCCCTCCCCGCCCCCTCCCCCGCCCGCTGCGCCGCCCCCCCCTCCACGCCCCCTGCAGCTCCATCCGCGCGCCCTGCGCCCCCGGCCCGCCCCCTGCACGCAGGCCCTGCCCCCGGCCCTGCCCCTCCCCGCCCCCTTCCCGCCCGCTGCGCCCCCCCCTCCACGCCCCCTGCAGCTCCATCCGCGCGCCCTGCGCCCCCCCGGCCGGGTCCCTGCACCCCCCGCCCCGCCCCGCCCCTCCCCGCCCCCTGCACGCCCCCTGCAGCTCCATCCGCGCGCCCTCCGCCCTCCGCCCCGCTCCCTGCGCCCACTGCACCCCCCCCCGCCCGCCCCATGCTCCGCCCCTGGCCCGCCCCTGCGCTCTGGCCCCGCCCCGCCATTGGCCCCGCCCCCCTTTACCCCTGGCCCCGCCCCCTGCTCCCCCGGCCGCTTTCTCTCTCGCCCGCTGGCTGCTCCCGGTCGGGGTTTGCGGGGCGGGAGCCGGGGGCGGGCTGCCCGGTTGCCCCAGCGCCCGGCCCGCGGGGTCACTTGGTGGCGACTCTGGCGGCCCTCGCCGATTCTTTTTTTAAAATATTTTATGTATTTATTCATGTGAGAGAGAGAGAGAGAGAGAGAGGCAGAGACACAGGCAGAGGGAGAAGCAGGCTCCATACACCGGGAGCCCGACTGGGACTCGAACCCCGGTCTCTAGGATCACGCCCTGAGTGCAAGGCAAGCGCCAAACCGCTGAACCACCCAGGCGTCCCTCCCCTTCTTTTTCTTATTCCAAATACTTTCCAGCTTCTCAGCTTTGTTCGTAACAACCCATTCTTCATGCTTTCCTTCTTGTTTTTATTTATTTATTTTTTCAAACCACAGCACTTCATATTAACCCGATCCTGGAGAAGGGACCGCAGAAGGAACAAAAGTAATGTTCAAATCCCAATCTGGCACCATCTCAGATGAGGGATTTTTTTTTTTTTTTTTTTTTTTTTTTTGTGGAAAGGGAAAAAGAAATCCAAGAAATCCTCTTGAAGGATCCTCTTGAAGGAAAGCAACCTCTTTCAAATGTCCACTATTGTGGTGTCCTGGATTACTCCTGGGGCAGCACACATCTGTCTCTCAAATCGAGAGTGCACAGGAAATGTAAATTCTGGTCCAATAGGTCTGGAGTGGGGCCTAATTCTGCTTTTCCAACAAGCTCCTCAGGCATGTCGCTGCCACTGCTGGCACGGACCACACTTGGAGTAGCAAGCACTGCACCACTGCTACTGTCTGTCCAGTTCTCAGGAGGAGGGCGGGGATGGGAGGAGGCCTGGGGGTACAGAAATTTCTGTATGCTTCTGTGGTCATTCTGCCTCTGTTTCTGTCCTTGGGCAGTGAGTGGTAACTGGGCCGCAGGAGACCAGCTATGTAATTTGCAGCACCCAGTATAAAGTGAAAATGAGGGTCCTTATTCATAAATTATTAGGAATTCCGAGACAGCAACAGCAGAGCATTAAACCAAGTAAAGGGCCCTTCTAAGTACGAGGCCCTGTGTGACTGCACAGGTCCCACATCCATAAAGGCGGTGCTCGTGGGCCTTTATATGAGAATCTTTTCTAAGCAAGGCTTCCAGAAGTCCTCAAAATCGATGTCACAGCCCTCTTAGACTTTCTAGAACCACCGTCTGATTTATGCCTTTAGTTTTTGTCTAGGTAAAGTGACTAATACTATTCTTTGATGCAAAATTGGTAATAAAAATAACATACATCTGTTTTGAGTATTAAAAGGAAAGACACGAGAGTCTTTTTATATGCACGTATGATGAGATATATTGCTCTTAGAATGTGTAATGGCAAAGATTTAATTTAGAAAATACGTTCACAAATCAATGCCCATCTCAGCCTCTTTAGTTCTTCTGCATCCAGTCCTTTCTTGTGAGTCACTCAAGCTAACAATTCTTATTTTGAAATGGAGGGTTGCGTTTAGATCATAGCTACCGTTTATTAACAACCAGTGAGTCAGAAAATTTAAGTATAGCAATAATTCTTAACCCAGGGTAGTTGGTACTATAAATGAGCTATTAGAACTAAATTTACTTCCTAAACTCACATCAACAAACATTTATTGAGCACCTATTAGTGCCAGGCGTTGTTCTGGGTAATGAGGATATGTCAGTGCATGATTAAAGAGACGAAAATCCCCACCCCATAGAGCTGGCAGGCGGTGAGGGGAGATACACACAGAATCAGTGGAGCAAATTGAGGATATGCTCATGAGGATATGAGGATAGCCCTCATTTTTGCTCACGTGATGGAGCAAAAATGAGGGATAAGGGAGAGTCTGGAGGGTGAAGGAATGGGGTTGCAATTTTAAGTTAGGTGCTTGAAGCAGATCTCGAGGTGGAGGAGACGCTGATCAAAGAGACGAAGTAAGATACCCAGGTATTTGAGGGAAGAGAAATTAAGATAGAAGGGAGAGTCAATGCAAAAGCCTTAAAGTGGAAGTATGCCTTCATATTCCAGAAACATGAAAGGAAAGTGAGTGTGGGATAGAGTGGAAAGAGGGGAAGAGTAGAGGATGAAATGAGAAGCTCACAGAGTATATAGGTCTTTGCAGGCTAGTTAAAGGGGAACCAAAAGTTCCTATTAAAATTTTTTTTTTAATTTTATTTATTTATTTATTTACGATAGTCATACAGAGAGAGAGAAAGGCAGAGACACAGGCAGAGGGAGAAGCAGGCTCCATGCACTGGGAGCCCGACGTGGGATTCGATCCAGGGTCTCCAGGATCACTCCCTGAGCCAAAGGCAGGCGCCAAACCGCTGCGCCACCCAGGGATCCCTAAAAATTTTTTTAAAGTGATTCGAAAGGCTTTTATCTGGGAAAGGAAAGGTCACAAGTATCCACCTATTTTGGGAATAAACACTATATCTACGTGAGAGGTGTAAACCCTCTTATAAATTTGCGCAGTAGCACACGCAGCTTCCTTCACCTGTGTGGTGGTTCCCTGTTGCTGCATGACCGTGACTCCCAAACTTCGCAGCTTAAAAACACTGGCATTTATTATCCCACGCGGTTTCTGTGGGGCCACAATCTGGAAACAGCTTAGCTGGGTGTCCTGGTTCAGGCTCTCTCCTGAGCTTGCAGACAGAGTGGCTGTCGTCATCTGAAGGAGGATTTGATTTCTAGCTCATGTGGCTGTTGGCAGGAGTGTTTAGATTTCAGGCCCCTGAACAAAGCCCTCAGATCCTTCCCACCTGGGCTCTTCAGAGGGCTACGTGTGGTGTGACAGCTGTCTTCTTCCAAGTGAGGGCTTGGAGGCACAGAGAGTGGCCAAGGGAAGGAGGAAGTTGAGAGCAGCAGGGGCCTCCCTACCCTAACCTGGGTAGGGCTCCGCCATCCCTTCTGCTCCTGTTTTCACCAGGCCAAAGCCTGGTGCATTGTGGGAGTTGGGGTTCCCCCAGGTGTGAACACCAGAAGGTGGGGCTTCTTGGTGCTGCCTCCAAGGCCGGCCACCCAAGCCTCATCTTGACAAACATGGTGATTGTTTTGGCTGTGAAGCTAATCCAGGCCTTCATCCGTTTTCACAAATGCTTCTCAACCTCTAGGATATTCAAATCATTTTCATTGTTGTTTCTTACCTGTCAAGAACCTTCTGGATTTTCTCCAGTTTTTAGACATTCTACTTCATTTTTAAATGGCTTTGTCATGGAAGTTATTTTGTTTGTTTTCATCCTCACTATTACGATTGACCAAGCATGTGCCAAGCACTTTTTAAAGTCCTCATAACATATACTTGCAGTAGATAGTATTATCATTTTTATAGATGGGGAAACTGAGGCACAGAAAAGCTAAGATACTGGCTCAAGGTTATGCATCTAGTAACCGGTGTATCTAGCATTTGAGTTTGTGTCGTCTGGCACTAGTTTATGCCACGCAGCCTCTCCCGTTCCTCATCATATAGAATCCTGCACCTTCTCAGATGGACATTATTAATTGGTTATCAGTGAAAAAAAATGTGTTATCAGTGGTCACTCTAATTGAGCGAGATACTGTAACTTCAGGTAATCAGCTACAGATTGTCAAATAATTTGAAACCTAACCTGAGAGAGATGTTAGTATTAAATCGGGGAAATAATTGAATGGGTGCTAATTTTAGAACAGGGTAGGTCGAGGAATTTTGCATTCCTGTAGACTTCACCACTGCAGGGGTTCAGATAATGAATATGCTGATGAGGAAGCTGGTCCCTTACCTCTAATACTTACAGCTGTGCAAGGTGGGAATTCTTACCCTCAGTTCACACATGGGAGAAGTGACTTGTAAAGCAATTAAAGAATTTATTTAGCTCCTCAGTGGTCAGTAGCCATAGTGAGATGTAAATCGAGCTGTCAGACTTCAGAGCTCCTGCACAGTTTTTCAGCTACACCAGGCTGCTCTCGGTTATACCGAAGCATATTTCTTTTCTTCTTCTTATTTTTGTGTTGGCTTTTCTTTAGTAATCAGATCTTTCACAGTGCCCTATGAGCTTTCTATGTTCTGATATAAATTATAGAAAGACATGGCACCCAATAATGTACTTGGGTCATTGCATTACTTCTGTGTTGCATGGTTGGTTTTTTTCCCTTTTATTTTTTTCTCCCTGTGTTATGGGAAGGGATATTATTCCTCCAGGCCACTAATTAGCTAGTGTATGGATCGAAAGATCTGATTATCTTCAGTCTTGGACTTCACAGTGAAAATCTTACCAATGCCACAAAGTCTCGCCTACACACCCCTGCCACTTTTCTTGTAGTTGTTGGTTGGGTTTATACAATCAACTTTATACCGTCTTTGCAGTTGTCCGTAACCTCTAGTATTGGCAACGTGTCAGAGGGACTATAAATTCTGCAT